CCACATCTAACCAGAGTCCACCTCCTACTAGCATATTCAACTGTGAGTTCTTCAGCAGATTTATCCACGGATAAGTATAATACCTCCATGATGGCAATCACCTTCCAAAAGCCCCACTTCTGAACATGTGAACTTTTTTGGAGGCATTCTAGATGTAAACCCTAATATTCCACTCTAGGGCCCCCAAAAGACTCATATCTATCTCATTATGTAAACTGCATTTAGTCCACCTCTAAGAGTCATCAACATGTTAACAGTTCCAGCACTGCTTAAAAGTTTAAGTCCAAAATCTCCTCTGAGATTTAAGACAAACTCTCAGAAAAGAAAGTTACATACTTCCAATTCACAATGGCACAGGATAAACATTCCCATCAGAAGGGACAGACAGAGGAATAGAAAGGAATGGGACTACAGCAAGACTGAAACTCAGTAGGGCAAATAGTAAAGACTATCCGTCTGTGCCCAGCACCCAGGGCAAGTTGTGAGCACCAAACAGCTTGAGCAGTCCTGCCCATATGGCATGAAGCCCTCATGGACTCTCTCTCAGTGTGAGTCCACTTATTGCAGGCTGCTTTCCTCAGCAAATGCCACACTCCTAACATCTATAACTTCCCAGGGTCTCCACTGCACCTTCAGCTTCACTGTACTCACTACTTTATACACACTGCCTGGCCTCCCCAGCCTTCCTCTGAAATCTAGGTGGAAGCCTTGCTGACCCCACAACTCTTACATTCCGCATACCCACAAACCAGCACCACATGGATGTTATCAAGGTCAGCCATCAGCTCAAGTAGTGCCAGGACCCCTTGGAACATGTCAGCTGAGGCCTCTGAGTGCCTGGATAATTGAGTGCAGTGAAACAAATACTGGGGAACCAATTCCTTAGGCATACCTTCACAAACAGGAGACTTAAGAGCTCTCTTCCCAAATAAAAATTTTTAATTTTGTACCTCTGAACCTGCAAAGGATGTACTGTTAATTCCTGAGATGCCATCTGTCCTATCATCCTGACACAAAGTACCTGGTTTCTTTTTAAAGCTGATCTTTTCAGCAACTATACACTCTTTGACCCAACTTTGTTGGCACTTTCTTTCTGAAGAAATTACAAACTTTTCAAATTATTTAGCTCTGTTGTTTGTTTCTGATATTCACTATAAATCGGGCTAACAACCTCTAGCAGTAGCCATGTCGCAGCCTAAACACTGGGCTGCCTTGAAATTTCCTCTACCAGATTAATCAGTCCACTGGCTTTAATCTTAGCTCTGGACATGGGTAAATCATATACAAATTTTCCACCACAGAATAACACACATGGCCTTGACTCCAACTGCTAAATGAGTCATCCTTCTCACCTGAAACCTCCTTACCCTGAACTTTATTGTCTATATTTTTATCATCAGTCCTGGTCTTCTGGGCTCTGACTAGAATTTCTCATCAAGCTCATCTTACAGCATCTGAGGGCCTCTCTAGCCAGTACCTCCAAACCTTTCCAAACTCCTCCCACAAACCAGTTCCAAAGGCTCCTAAACCTCATGGTCAGGTACAGACACAGCAATGACCCTATTTCTCTTCAAAATCTGTTTTAGTCATTTTCTCTTCACTGGGATACAAAGCCTAACATCTACAATCTAAAGGAAGAGAGATTTATTTTGGCTCTTGTTTGCTGTCCATGGTCTGTTAGGCTCCAAGACAGGCCACAGTGGAAGGGCCTAGGCAGAACACGGCTTCTCATCCCATGGCATCCATGAGATGGAGAGTGAAGAAAGGAAACAGGGAGGGAGATATACCCTTGCAGGTCACCCTCTCCCCTCTCCCCTCTCTCCTCTCTGACACATCTGGTGATCTCTTGCTCCTGTGCTCCCACACATGCTCCAGCCATGATGACATCTGTGATTAGGCCCTCACCAGGAGCCAAATCAATGGGGCTGCCTGATCTTAGATTTCTGGCCTTCAAAAAAATGAGCTCTTCTTATAAAGTTAGCCTATATACAGTATTTCATTATAGAAATGAAAAATGGACTAATAAACAATGATAACCAAAAGATAATTATAATAACATACCCTATTCTGACATTAAAGAATAATTACGTTAAGAAGTGTATGTACTTTTAAAATGCTCTATTTAAGATTTTCACCATGAAACTTGTATGTAAAAATAAAAAAGTGAAATGTAAAAAGATAGGCTTTATCTCATCCAATTATACATATTAATGTAGCATTCTAAGTATGTTCCTTCATATTAAAGTATGCCTACTGAAACATAATGATAGTCAAATCATTCTGAAACTGTCATTTGGCAACATTTTGTTATATGAACTTAGGTTACGAAGAAAAAGTTAAATACTTTTCAGCATGATCGATAAATTTCTTCCTTAAGTATGAATAATTTTCCCTTTAACATTTAGAGTGCCAAGCCTTAAATAAGACCTATAGAAACAAATACACCTCTGCCAGACATTCAACAAGAACTCTGATTCTCTTTTGTTGGTACAATATGATTTGCATAAATGGTTATTAACTATACATTTTGTGTTTAGCATTCTGTTAACTGCAAATTACGAAATCTAAACAAACCAAGAATAATCATGTTTTGCAACAACACAGCTCTTATTTCCAGAGAATATAATTTAACAGCATATTACACTGCACCAAATCTCTACAATGTTATCTACAATGAAGACATTTACTATTGTACAGTATTAAACTTTAAAAGGCTAAGAATGAAGAGCATTATCTTAAGTACTTTTACCAATTTGTCAGAATTTAGTATTCAAAATGATATACATCATATAAACTGATATGACTTAAACAGGTTAGGAAGAGTCTTAACCCTGACTTCTTTCTTTTATTACATATAAGCATATACCACATACCAATGCTTTTGTCAAGACAGACTATATATACACAACAGTGGTCCCATGAGATTATAATGGAGATGAAAAATTCATTCTGCCTAGTGACTTCTCACAACCACTGTAATGTGAAGATGCTCGTATAAACAACCTATTGTCCTGACAACACTATTAAACTACAGTACATACAATTATATATAATTATGTGTAGTATACCATATTTTGTATTAAATGACAATGATACTGGTATATATATTAAACGATACTTTTTATCATTAGAGTACTACTTGTACTTTAAAAATGTTTACTATAAAAACAATATATGCTATGTCAGTAACAGCCACATACTTTTTGTGTTTATGTGGTATCAAGAGGCCATGTCAACTGGCTGACACATACCATCTAGATTTGGGTAACTATATTCTATGATGCTCACAAAACAAAGAAATTGCTTAATGAAGCATTTGTCAGTATGTGACAATAAGCACATTACTTTAATGAGAAAACACATGACATAGAACTACTGATATTAATCTGGTACATATCTTCAAGACTTTTCCATATTCATATAAACAAAATATAAATTCATATGAACAAAAATACACATATACTTTTAAAAATAATGTTTGAATCAATTTTATAACCTCTTTTTATATGACAGATCATCTTAAAACATATCCTCCACAGATGGGGAAAACTACTGTATTCTTTATAACAAGTTAACTACTATCAAGTTTTAAAATTACTCAAAACATTTGTTCCGATCAATTTTTTTGGAAGTACTGGGACTAGAACCCAGAGTTTCATTCATGCTAGGCACTGCTCTATCACTGAATAGATACTCAATGTGTTGTTTTTAAATGTAATACCTAATTTTTTAAATATCTCAAATCCTTTAGGAAATAAGACAAATTAAAATGACCAAAGATAATTCATGGACTTTATGGTTTTCATTTAAAATTAATTCATTTAAATATTAGTTGCAACTAAAAAGGAAGACCATGAATTTTACTGTCTTTATACCTTAATATAATATCTTATACAAACTAACTTCCTAAGTAACATTTAAAGATATCAAACAAGTATCACTAAGAAAAGTACACTGTGTGCCTTTGATAAACACAGCATTTTCAAACATTTCATACCATACAAAAATCCTCGGAGTTATTTCCAAAGAAATGTATTATTGATACTTTGTCAAGGGAAATTATCTAAGAAAACTTGTACATTCTGGTATTAATAACTGCATTAGAGTAAAAAGAACAATGGACTTCCTAAGACCTATTCTATCCTAGCTATGTAGTTTTGGAATATTATTTCACTTTCTCAAAGCTGAAATGTCTTCTTTAGTAAGAAAGAACTATCACTGCCTTCAAATAATTGTTTAATTATAGTTAATTATAATTTAAAAGTGTTTTAAAAACAGTACTGCTTAAGGATAAAAACAAATTTATTTATTTCTTAGGAAGATCAAATTATTTCAAACTAAAAAGTTTGGGTTATTAAATTGAAAAAGTCATTCTGTCACAGATCTTAGAACCCTGACTATTTCTTTTATATGTGTATGTCTGTGTGTATTCGTGTGTGTGTGTTTGTATGTGTGTGTATAAATATACTATCATACTCTAGATCAGAGGTTAGCAGTCTACGGCCCATGGGATATATCCAGCTAGCTGTCTTGTTTTATAAACCAAGATTTACTGGAACACAGTCAAGCTCATTATATTATATGTTAGCTATGGCTGCTTTTGCACTTTAACATGCAAATAGAAAATATAATTACAGATACGGTCAAACACCAGAAACAAAAATATTTACTACTGAATCTTTATAGAAAAAGTCTGCTGACCCCTGCTATAAATCATTAAAGTTGAATAGGACAGTGTATTCAAAATGAATTAAGAAAATATTTAAAAATTAAATACACATCTAAATTTAATGCTTTATAATGTCATTTCAAATTCATAAAAATCTAAGTCTCAACAGCAAACAGAATTAAAATATGAAAAGTTTGGTTAGATAAAACAACACAGAACCATACTAATAGCTTATTTAGAATAAAGTATAACTTATTGCCTGTAAAATTAAAGCCAATTATTTCTGTTATAAATAGTATGTTTATCTGCTTTATTTAAATTATGTTTTTACCTGCTAATGGCTTGTTCCTCATCAGTTATTCCAGTCTCCCTGAATGCCCTGTTTGATTCCGCCAAACTCAAGGCAATTGCTCTCTGAAGATCATCTTTATCATCTCCAGTGAGATCAATCACACCTGAAAAGCAAAACTATCTTTCTCAAAATTAAAAGTTAAACAAAATAAAAAGTAATTTGTATCATGAAAATATTATACCCAGTATACCCTCTGAAAAGTCAGCACCAAGTAAAATCTTTCTCTTACAGAAAGAACCTATCTTAAAAGAATGAAAACACATTTTTAATCAATTATACTTGTTTAGTTTTCTTCCATGAACCTAAAGCAGTAAGAACAGAAATATTTCTAATTGCAAATGATTACCAGTATTTTTCTTATTAAAAATAAGCAGAGGGCTAGGGATTTAGCTCAGTGATTCTGCCAACTGCCTCGCAAGTGCAAGGTCCCAAGTTTGATCCCCGGTACCAAAAAAAAAAAATAAGCAGAAATACTGCTGAGAATAATTTCTTTATCAAGAAAAATTGAAATTACCAAAATCAAACATTTATATTTATGCTCTCTGAAGTTAACACAATTTTATATACATTACATCCTATTCATATTACCATTAGACACTATTTACTTATAGTTACAACTGAGTCTTCAAAATTTGTGCTTCAGAAATTGACTGGGTGTGTGTGTGTGTGTGTGTGTGTGTGTGTGTGTTAAAGTCTGGAAGAACACATCAAAATGTCAACAGTGGTTAACTCTGATGGAAGAGGTTATAGGAGAAAAAGGTATAAGGGGCTTTTACTTTCTATTTAAAACAATTCTGTACCATCCGATTTATTTATTAAATAGGCAATTCTTTTAATGTGTAATGAGATTCGCATTTCACTAAAACCAAGAAATATATACATGAATGTTAATCATTTCTCTGCTAGCAAAAGACAGCTATAATGCTATAATATTTTTTCCATAGAATAAAAGCTGTAATTATTACCACCTTCAGTAAACCCACCTTTAAATCCAATTTCCCAGGACATACTGGTCAACTTATTTAACAGAGACGATGCCAATGAAAAAATACTCTCATTATCATTTAAAAATGATAGCAATTGATAGGATAAGCAAAAGAATAAAGTATATTTGCTATTGTGTGGTTTTCTGTGGTTGGGATTGTTTCTGCTTTGGATGTGTTTTATATTCAATTTGCTTATTTATATTTTAAATGATTAAAATTTATTTGTCTTTGTAATCACAGAATTTTATGAGAGAAATAAAAGGGAAAAGGCTGGAGAGGATGCCTTCATTCTACCATTTGGCTATAAGAATATATACAAACATATACATATGTATATACATATACATACATACACACACACACACACACACACACACACACAGAGTGAATGTGGTGCTGAGAGCCATCCAAGGGAAAGGCAAGCTTGCAAAAAAGCATTACAGTGTGTCCTTATCTACCTTATTCAATGGATCTGGCACGGTGCAACTTCTGGCTCTTCCCCAATGTCAAAATGACCATGAAAGGCAAATGTTGTGAATATATTAATGACGTTCAGGCAACCACAACAGCACAACTAAAGAAATGAAGGAGAACTTCCAGAACTGTTTCAGAACACAGCAAGAACAAAAGAATAAGTATGTCAAAGCAAGGGGAAAATTTTGAAAGGGATTAATGGCAATGTATCTTTTACTGTAATTTTTGTTTTAATTTAAAGCATTTACCAGTTTTCAATCATACCTCATAAACACTAGAAAAAAAATATTCCACAAGAAAAAAATAATGTATGCTGATGGTTTCAAAAGTCTACTTCTGTTGCTAGCCACACTTTTTTGCCTCCAACCTTACAAGAATATTTAAAATATTAGAAATAACTGGCCACAGGCGATCCTTTTAAATCCTTAAAGAAATTTAGCAAAACGTTTTTTTTTTTTTGGTAAGCGGGGATCAAACTCAGGTCCTTGCACCTGCAAAGCAGACAGCAGAACCACAAAACTAAATCCCCGACCCGAGCAAAGCCTTATGAAAACCTACTAAGTAGGGCCTCCTATTTCAATCAAGTAAAATGTAGGCACAGATACATAACAAAACAATTGAAATGATGGAACACGGGGCCAGGATTTAGCTCAGTGGTTTCGCCACCTGCTGCACAAGCACAAGGACCCAAGTTCAATCCCCGGTACCAAAAAAAAAAAAAAAAAAGAAATGATGTAACACCTTAGATATGTTAGCAGGCCAAACATTTCATAAATCTAGCTAAGACCCACATCCACCCAGATATGAGCAAAGATGAGTGCTTAGGTTAAATACTGATGAAGAGACTAGACAGGTATGAAATGTATCATAAAAATGATAGCTATCGTCATTATTAAAGTGGCCAGAACTTGGGTACAGAGAGGATTATAAAGGCAGAGGAAATAAAGTTGAAAATCATAGAGAAGCAGAAAAAGAGGTTTTAGGCATATGATCAATTAGCCCATAGAAGTCATTCTCTCATCCTTATAGTATGCATTTTTTTAACTATACAAATTGGAAAAATTAAAAAAATAACTGTTTCTCCCTCCCCATTCATTTGCAGCTAAGGTTCTAGATAAAATTTAAGTTATATCAATTGGATGCACTAGCTTGAGATTTGGAAGGCAGAAGCAAATGGCTAGCCATTACAATTGTGCTTCTGACTGTTCCCCCTAGCATGATCAAACAGATATAGGGTGTTCCATAGTAACACTCCAGGATCCAGTTTCCGGCTCTGAGTACATCAAATTACAGTGACAACCAGACTCAGCAATCCAATGTCCAAGCAGAGCTCCATGGTAATTACCTAGCTTGCCGTTCCTACAGCTACAGATGTATGTTCCTGAGCAGAGTAGTCCTACAGGCTCCCTTTCCTGATTTCAACAGTGGTATAATCTCTTCCCAGGCTGGTCAGTCCTGAAATGAACTGCAGCTGATCTGCAGGAGTGTTTCCCCCTTGTCCTGTCAGTGATTTTTAAAAGAACCTAATCACGTGAATTAAATTCCTTTCTAGAAAATATCTAAAATGTTTAGCATTTCATGACTCACAAATAAACCAAGGGGGCTAGAGTAGAAATCATTTAGAAATAACAACAACCTATATCCATAGCTTTCTCTGATGTACCAATTGTAACTCAAGCAGCACAAAAACAAAAAACAAGAAGAGTTTTTCTAACATATTTCATAAATAATACAATTGAAATTCTGAGAAATGAAGCAAAACCACCTAAGAATAGAGAATGGTACACAGGCTTCGAGTTAAGTCTTTTAACTCTTAAATCCAGTGGTGTTTCTGCCTTACTAGAGTTCTCAAAGTGTAGTCTTACCAATGGGGGGGGGGGGCGTCCTCATGAAACTTTTGAGAAGGGATGGGGAGTTCCTTAGGTAAGAAACATAATTCTACTAAGATATCATTCATCCCTTTGCAGTTATATTTGTGCTGATGATGAAAAACAATAGTGGATAAAACTGCATCTTAGCATATTCAAGGAAACACCACCAATAATTCATCATATTACTACTCTGAAATAAGTCTCCCCCTTTTAAAAATCCTTTTTCTCTTAAGAACTATAAACCTAATGAAAAATAAAAAGTATTTTACTAAATTTCAAATCTTGATACACACACATGCATACACACACCTTATAAATTCTATGAAGACAAAAACTGCACAAAGTACTTCTCGCTTTATACATAAAGAATGCTGCTGCTACAGAAAAAAAAATCTAGTGCAATGTTTAAATTGCAAAGCTAAACTGTTTTGTATGGAATATTTTTAATTGAAAGAACAAATGACAAATTATAAACTAAGATTATTCAGATTTCAGTAAGCCTGTCACCTAAAGGAAAACAAATAAGAGCATTTGTTGACAATGATTAACAAAGAATTTTCAAGTTAATTCAGAATTTTAAAAAACTTCTTTCAACCACTATGAGCATGATATCTTCCTATTAAAGACTTTTCTGATGACATCAGTAACTATATTGACAGATTTGATTATTTTACATAGTAAACATTATTTTAACATACTGAAGCAAATTTTTTCCAAGTTACCAATGAACAGTATTACAAAATGATGCATGAGTATAAGATTCACTCAAGAAGCAAGACAAATAATGTAGTTTAATGTAACAGTATGAAAAGATCATTAACATCATTGTAGAATCATTGATGTGATGTTGGATTCACCATTGCAACTGCTCTTAAAGAAATTATAAGTCATCAAGTTTAGCTATAGTATTACAAAAAAAACCCCTTAACTGAATGGTTAGTTAAAATGCTCTTCCATTTTCTAACTTTATATCTGTATTAAGCCAGATTTTCTTCACATTCTTTAACCAAACAACTCATTGCAACAGAATGCAAATCTTCAGAAACAGATCCGAGACTTCTGCTCTAGTATGGCAGACATTAGAGATTTGTGAAAATGTAAAACATGTATTCTTTTTGCTAATTTATTTCAGAAACTATACTTTTCAAAAAAATACTATTTAAGCCAACATGTGACATTGATATTTTACATGAATATTCTGTGTTTTATAGTTTTAATTTCTAATACAATAAACATTTTATATAAACAAAAGCTATGAAGTCTTCAACAATTTTTATGAGTGTAAAGGGGTCCTGAGATCAAAAATAAAACAATCACTTTGCCATGTTCCTAAATACAATTGCTTTTAATAAAACAAATCATAACTGAAGATTCCGTTCTTTGGCTTTTACAATGTAACAAAAGTTTGAATTGGCAAAAGATAAAGATTGTATGTAAGCAAAATAGGTATCTCTTCCTTCTTTTTCTAGAGGGAAAAAAATCAGATCTATCCACATGATGCCTGCATGGCTTTAGTCACTGTGACAAAGTCAGAATGTGGCAGTAGTAATAGTAGCTCATTAACTAGAATATTCACTCTCCCTTCTGACCCACCCCCAACATTTTCTACTATCTTACACTTAGCCAGCAAAACACATTCATATTACCTACCTTGCTCTTTCATCATGGCAAACACACAAAATACTTGTACCCTATACCACTATTAAGGTATAAAGTTGCTTTGGCTAGAACGACCACTCTCAATGGCTCTGGGTACCTCAATCTACCTAGCA